GGTAGGGTACGGACACGGACCCTCGCCAGGCGATGAACTAAGGTTCTCACCTGGGTGCCAATCACCTATCTTTCCTACCGTCGCGCGCGGACACAAAGGTTCTCAACCGGGTCAGCTCACTAGCATTGCACGATTATGGGCATGTTGGGTCTAGCCAGCGACGACACAGGTTGGCACTTCTCTCTTTTGCCTAGGTTGGAGAGGGCAGTCGAATTGTTTTAGTGTGGTGCGCTTGCTACGTAACATCTACGCTGTGGCTCTTATGGACTTAAGCCAAGTCCGACACGCATCCTAGATCTGGGATCATGTGTAGCCACTGCGGCCATCACCATGCGGGGTTTGATCAGCAGATGCCCCTCTCCCCTTTGCTTGGCTTGACCTTCTCGTGAAGCACCTGAAGAGTGTGCAATCGAGCAACACTATGCAGGCTGTGCAATGGAGTGCGAGCGGGATAGCTGCGGCTGGCACTGCAGATCTTCTAAAACCTTGCTTAGTGTATGGATGTGAATTCGCAATTTTTCTCGAAATTGGTAGCTGACATTGATGCTATGTTTTGTATGCGAGCAAGGAGGTCGAACAGGCGGGCTCGGTGCTCACTGACCTTGCACTGGCAGCTGAGCAAGCAGCAATGCAAGCCATGTACAACTTCCAAACTGACGCACAGGATGCACCAGGGCAGGATACCGCTCTCCCACCCATGCATCTGTATAGCAGTTTGCCACGCGAGTGGCCGCTGGCGCGGATGTGCATCTCGTACAAACAAGTCAACAAATACGTGCGCATTGCCATTTGGAGGAGAGTTGCTGAGCTTGGGCTCCGTGGTACCCATTTCAAAGGATTCCCAGAGCTAGTGCACACAGAGCTTGTTGGAGATCTTCTAATCCTGTGCAATGCACTCGCAGTACCGCTTTCCAACCTGTTCTCCTTTCTGTGTAGGGGCCACCCACAATGTACTTTCGTTGACCAAGCACACCTAGCCCTCTATGCTGACCTCCACTTCTGGCAGTGTGGTCTCCTTGCATTCTGCTCTATGAGCAATCCCGGCTGGTTCCAAATTGGTTTCTGTTCGACGTACCCCAGTCCAAACCTTGCAGGAAGTGGAATCAGTAAGTTTGACTGATCGTAGGCTATGGTTTCGAATCATCAATCCCAAATCGCAACAGCGAAAGCTTTCCGTACATAGCCGACGTGTACTGAAACTATGGTTAGAGTGGCTGAGAATTTCACCCCCTCTCCGAAGTATGCGCCCGCCGCTTCAGGTTTCCATTCACGCATCAGCAGATGCCTCAGCCCAAGGGGATTCGTTTCAAGTCGGTGGTCTCATCGAATCTGGATCCACCGTCTTTTGGTTCGCCGAACGCTGGAAGGTCCTTGATGTCAAGTCCCTAGATATTCCAGTTAGACCGGATGCACAGCGAGACATCGCTTGTTATGAAACCTTGGCCCAGGGCTTTCTTGCTCTTTTATGTTCAGCCATTTGCCCAACAATATGTGTCCCTCTCCACTTTCAGAGCCTTAGTGATAATGTTGCTGCCGAAGCTTCAGGCAATAAGTTTTTTACAACATCTGCTCCGCTTTGTTACTTTGTTGAGCATTTAGCTTCCATTTTATCTTCAGAACGCATCAGCTGCGATATCTCACACATTCCCGGTCCTTTGAATCTCGATGCGGACCTGCTCAGTCGATGGGACCTCGAATCGGAATAGGCATCGCATGTGCCTGCAAGGCTTCTTTCGGTTTCACCGCTCGGTCGCGGTTCACCCCTCTAGTTTCCCGCTGCAGTGGCCAATCGGCCAACCAGGAATTCATTTTGGCTGCCAACATCCACTCAGGGCGTCTTGGGATTGGTTAACCGAGTGTTGTTGGAAAAGCTTTTGGTGTGATATCCCAACAACTCTTGACGAATGCTGGCAGTGAAAATGAACGTAGCGCGATAGCTCCGGAGAGAAGCTGTGGATGTTTTTATTGAACATTGTAAGTATCTCTAGAACGTTTCTAGTGATCCTTCACGTAATGTTTTGTGATCTTACATGTTCTACGTGCCGATTTGGTTCTAGAATACTTCAATGTTCAGCTCCTCCCTCCTCTACCCTCTATGGCTTCTCTCTCCACAGTCCACCAACAGGTCAAAACGACCAAAAGCGTCAAGCTGATCCATCAGCACCCCGCGAGCACGCACATCTCAAAGATGTGAACGCGTCATGGTCAAAACGACCAACCTGCAACCACTCCGAAGCCATGAGTGGTGGGATATCGGTGTGATATCCCAACAACTCTCGACGAACGCTGGCAGTGAAAATGAAAGTAGCGCGATAGCTCCGGAGAGAAGTTGTGGATGTTTTTATTGAACATTGTAAGTATCTCTAGAACAGATCGAGACCGCCCCCTTGGAAAGAAAAGAGCGCAGTGAATTTTCATTTTGTATGTGAGGCACCAAATCTGACAGTGACGACGTGTTTCTTTGAAAAAGATACACTTGTCACAGACAGGTTTCAGGAAAGACTTTTCCGGGTGTCGAGTAGAGTTTTTCCTCCTTTCAAGGGTGCGGTGGGCGGCAGCGCTTTCCACGGTGATCTGTTCTGAAAGAAGCCCGCCCACCCACGCCAGAGGACTTTCAAGTTCGACCGGCCAGACCCATGGCCTAACAAAGATCGAGACCGCCCCCTTGGAAAGAAAAGAGCGCAGTGAATTTTGATTTTGTATGTGAGACACCAAATCTGACAGTGACAAACCGTAGAATTGACGCTAGTTTCTTTGGAGCAGGGGCTGGATTTTAACCCGTACTGTTGTTTCCAACTTGATTCTTTTCTCATGGGTGTACTGCGATCCATGTGGCTATTGCATACAGCTATGTTCTTTAATGGCTGGTAGTGCGCAAAAGGCGCTAAGAGACAAACAGAAAATTAAGAAAGGTGAGACGCAACAGGTGAAGCAGAACAAACCCGGCGCTAAATGCTCGAAGGCGAAAAAACAATACTTATTTTTTGAACCCAATTCAAACAAATCTTAGGGAACCATGGGTACAAAGTGCATTGCACAGTCACATATGCAAATGCAAGACAAACATCAACACCTCCAAATGGCTGTCTGGCGGTTAGGTCTGAAAGATGATGCCCCCTTCATTGTAGGTCGTAGAACGATGTGGCTCGTTTTTTTTTGGGAAATCGTCGGGAATCAGACCGTTGGTGATGATAGATTCCAACCTACTCGATCACAGTTGTACAACACCCTTGCAAGAGTGGACGAACACTCCTCATCGATTTGCAGGCAAACCGTATTTTTAACATCACTCACAAGGGTGATTCAAAGACAAAACGCTAGATGCGCAACAGAATCAATCTCCTGCTGCCAGCACTGATCTTTATGAGGCAATGTAAAGAAGTGCAAGACCACTCCAAAAGCAAGATGCCGAACATCCTTTCTCGCAAGACTGTTTCACCACGTTAGTCCACGAGATTTAACATTCAGACTATGTTATGCATTGCAAAGCATCGGAACACATTCAAGAGGGGAGGCGAACATGCACACAGAAGTGTGTCGAAAACGATGTGTTTGCAGCTGCTTGTGTGTTTTTTTTAATTCTTTTTGTTTTGTGTACAGCTTCAGTTTTGTGCATTGTGTGAGTTGCAGTTTTTTGAACTGTTCCCAAGAGCAAGTCGTTTGATTTGACCGTGACCAGTGACCAATGCGTCGGAATTTTGGCAGTTCCTTTTGCGACCTGTGTACATTCCATGCAACATGTTTCACTAGGATGCTCTCGGCACCAAGCCGTCCCTGCTTTTAGTCTGTTTTCTTTGTGGTGTTGTTTCGTTCCTTGGCGGTTGATGCACCTTCCTGCCTGACTCTTGTTTTCGTGTTTTTTCCAGTCGCGGTACAGCCCATTGGACATGGCGTTGGACGCTTGGTTGTTTTTTTTTGCAGCACTTTGAAGGAGCGCGACTGAAAATGAGAAGCCAACATCCCGTCTTTGATGTAATGAAACTGAGCGGCCTCACGTCCGGACAGGCAACCATGAACACACTTGTGCTTTTGTGACTGCCGACCAAGAGCTGCCAAATGGCCAAGAGATGTGTAACGGGCGCAAGGGCGTGAGGCCATAAGGTTGTGTGCTAGTTTGATTTGCTTACAGCCACTGACAGGTACTCATTTGGCAAACTGGGATGTCGTTCTCATGACTCTTTGCTAGACACTGAGTAGGATAATACAGCAGTAGCAGAAAGTATGCGGCGTGACGGACCTTCGCTTGTGTTTTGACTGCTCAGCAACTTAGAATCTATTTGCTCAAGTGTGGCACATGGTCTCAAACAAAGACAGTCGATGACATTTTTTCTCCAACTGGAGTACATCTACCAACCGCCACAAAGCTTTGCAAGTGATTCACGGCAACAAACCCTTGTACTTGATATATAGCATTTTGATGGGGTCAACACATCGACTTGCACCATCACGCCTTCACTGCGTTCTGGCACGGTCCTCGGGTGCGGAGGTGACTGTTGTGTTCCAATCCGTTTGGTTTCGTTCAAAAACCAAGCGGTTCTGTGTTCATTCATAGAATTGGTGGATTGGTGACGCTGCAACTAAGATGGTTTAAGTTGGTTTGCAAAGCACGTGGTGTATTCCAATCACTTGCAGTTTGGTTTTGAATTAAGATGGTTTATTGAGATTCAGTTATGGTGCGAGTGGTCTGCATCGTTTGCTCGCCTCCACGCATGGGTGGTTTGGTGTCATCAGCTGCCAAGCCTGCCGAGTCTGCGCCTTGGCTCCGCCACCTGTGGGGGACCCCTTCTGGCACGTTGTATGCGAGCACACTGGTTTGTATTCTTGTGTCCAGTCTCTGTGGGGTTCGGAGGGTTCAGTGGAAGCACCATAGTCAAACTCGGCCCGGGAACGTTCGAGCATGCACGTGTTTCAAAGCCTTCAAGGACCGACCAACGGTTTCCAGTCCGGCTCATATGATCCGCGGCGCCGGTTCAGCGCCCCCATCCTATCCCCACGGCCCCATGGCCCAAACGCGTGGGTTCCAGTTGGGCCGCCAGTTCGCGCGTTGGGCGCCGCTGGCGTCCACAGCGCTGCTTTGGCCAACAGGTCCGCGCGGTCCGCGCTCGCGGGGCATCCGGAGGTGCTCAGCAGAAGAGTTACGGACGCCCTTTCCAGAGATCGAGGCTCGCAAGACGGGGAACCTCGTCACCGTAGATGGGACACACTCCTTGTATTATGAGGTATCTTGGCAGGAATTGGTCCAGGGGCTGATTGGGTGGGGGAGCAGAACCATTGCATCATTGGGTGATTGGGCCACTTTGTTCAATTGTTGGAAGTTCCACAGGAAGTCACTTAGTACAAGAAGCAAAGGCCTCAGTTTGCTCCTAAAACGATCATTGAAGAAGAACCTCATCTCTTCTGGGCAAAGACCCTCCTTAAAACAAAACCACTATATACATCCCTTCTGGGTCGAGAGCTTGGCCACCGAACTCCGCCACGTTTCTCCGTGTGGACCGAGGTCTCGGGCAATCCAAAGGGCAAGGTCGTCCTCTTTCTGCACGGTGGCCCTGGGGATGGCAGTAGCCCCAAGCATCGGCGTCTCTTTGACCCCGAGGCGTTTCGGTCTGCACGACGTGTGGGGAGACGTGGGAGACGTGGAGACGGGTAGACGTGTGTTTTTCAACGGGTAGACGGGCCGGCAGCGGAAAATCAAGGGACACGAGTCCGATATGTGGGACAAAGGAACTGGATTGATTTTGAAAAGGAAGATGTGCAGCCTGATGAACAGTCAGCACTAGAGTCTTGGAAGGTGGGAGTGGGGATGGCTTTACTTCAAGTCAGACAACGGATCATTTCCATCGGTCCAGGTTATTTTGATCGGGGGCTCCTGTGAGTTGCATGCAATGGATTCAGCAGGCCCCTGGCTTGTTTCGCGTTCGGGCCCCTGGCATTGGAAGGATTTGCACCAGTCCACCCACCGTCCCACCGGTCCAGGTTTTCTGCATCGTGGCCTTTGACCAGAGGGGTGCAGGCCAATCCGTTGGAAAGAAGGAGTTCAATACCACGGAGAAGTTGGTACAGGAGTGACTCTGATTGGTGGTGTTGGACACCCGTAAGTGGTTCAATCTTGGTCACCGGAGCTTTGGCGAGACAGTGACATATTGGTAAGGTCATAAATCCAGAACGAGTCTTGACCCTTTAACAATCCTTTTAGCTTTTCTAAAGAACAAAAGTTGAAGCTGTCTCATTCCCCTGTTTTTCGAGGACATTGAGCAGCTGCGGCTGCATTTGGGCGTCGAAAGCTGGGAGTTGCTGGTGGGTGGCAGCTGGGGTTCCACCTTGGCCTTGGCCTATTCCACACGCTTTCCAGCGCGGGTGAAAGCCATGGTACTTTATTCAATCTTTATCCCCAGCCAGGTGGGATAAGACTCAGATGGAGGGTGCTGGGGCCGGTGTGGTTCGTATGGAACTATGTCCGACTTCCTTACTTTATTAGAACCTAGTTTTACTTGGTCCCGTTAAACCCAAAAATAGTGTTCATGATCTCTTCAGGTGGTTTGGAAGGGAATCAAAGGCGGCTTTGAGTGGAATAAGAGGCGTTCTTGTGGGTTTTGAGGCTCATTATTCGACATTAAAAGCAAAAGGGTCTGAATTGTGGGCCAACTATTTAGCGTATAGGAGGGTAACAGGTCCACAACAACCTCCTCCCAGAGACTTCTAAAATTGCAATGTAATTGTGCAGTTTCGACACTGTTGGTGCATTCTTGCAGGATCTATAATGGCACATAGTGTGGTGATGTTGAACTGGCTTGGACAAAAGGGCGTGGGTTCCGACAAACAAAAGGTGCCGGTAAACAAGTACTCTTCAACAAGTACTCTTTGAACGACCCCTCTTCAGACTTGCAGGGTCTGTTGCTTTTCCGCACAAGAACTGCACAAGGCATACTCGCTTTGCACAGACGAACTCACCAGAACCCTCCACAAGAACTCAGTGAGTCCAACTCATCCAATTGAGAGACTCCTTGAGGTGGTCCTCGGCTGCCAGGCCTCCATCGAGTTCCCTTACAGCGCGGCCGGCGCGGGGCTCTTCTTCCCCGAGGCCCACAAGGCCTTCGCCGCCGCCGTGGACGCCACGGGGGCACAGCCGGGAGAGCTGCTTGGGAGGTATGCGGAACGCTTGGCTTCAGAGGACACGAAGGCGTCGGCCCGTAGGCCGTGGGACGGCGAGGCCGCCCAGCGCGGCTTGATGTGATCTCATCTCATTTCGCTAGTAGCGAGCATGATATCGGCATCATCGTCTTTTTGATGAGGTTTTAGTTTGGTGTTTTTTTTCTAGTTTGGCTGAACCGACCTTCGGACTCGCCATGGCGCGCCGACCTTTTGGTAGGTCCGGAACGCTGCGCGGAGCGCCTATCTGCGTTGGATCATGCGGTTGTTGAGCTTGGAGCCTGACGAGTCGATCATCGAAGAGGTGGCAAGGAACCCGGAAGATGCAGGTGAGGTGGGTGGGGGGCACTGGGAGAGGATGTGGTTCCACAAGAATCTCTGAGTCCTCATGGTGGAGGTCCTCCACAAGTGGTCTAAGAGTTTCATTCTTGGATGGGACTGGAGGGTCTAGAACCTGAAAGTGGGTCCAACCGGTTTCCTCTCCGTTTTAAAACAGTAGGTTGCAACTAGAGTGTTGGTTTTGGCAATGGCAACTCTGTTTGCTTCTGAGTTGTCTTTTTCAATCAGTGTGGCAGTGGTAAAAGTGAAGCTGGACTTCTTGCGCCTTTCGGTTCGGGGTGTTTTTTTGGATGGTCGACCCGGTGTTGTTGGCTTCCAAGAAGTGAATGTGTGTGGAGCCGCTGGGGCACCTGCTCGGTTGACATCCTTCTTTCCCGGCTTTTGGACCCAAAAGACTCAAAAAGCGTCAGGGTGTTGATGCTTGCAGGACTCCCTCCACCTCCCTCAACCTGGCTGAACAGAATGGCTGTTCGAGCCGAGTCCAAGGTGATGGGTTGGCGATTGAGATGCGATACATGGCCAACGGCTGCTTCGTGGATGCAGACCAGCTCTTGGAAGAGTGCAAGCGAATCGCTCATCTTCCCTGCGCCATTGCGCCTGGCCGGGCAATCTTTTCAGTTTCAATCTTTTGTCAAGAAATTGCACAGGTGGTTTGGGCCTGCAACCATGGAGTGTTTATTTGGGCAATAACTCGGAGCGCTTGTTTCGGCTTGCAGCCAGATGTGTTTTCATCTACTGACATTCACAGCGATCACAAAGTTGAGGACAACAGGGTTTGAGTAGCTTTCGGACTCAGATATCTGCACGTTGAGCCCTTTTGAACAATCGTGCAAACTGCCAGAGGTTCTTCTGTGGCACTTGACCTGGTCGGTTTCCGTGTTCGTACCGCCCATGTGCCCGTGAAGTAAGATGCGTCGCACAACAAGATTAGACCCGCTTCAACAACCAGATTCTCATTGGAGAGGTTGAACTGTTGCTGCATTTCACAAGATCATTGAAAGACACCAACAGACCCAGGTCCGACTCAATCAGAACTTCCACAATGGACACCAACAGACCCAGGTCTTTGGACTCGGGTTTAGCAGCGGTGGATGCTCCTTTTCCCAGGTTCATGGGCGAAACGACTTGCTCTGCCCCCCCGGCCAATGCCTGGCGTTTGCGCCAGCGGCTACCGCGCGCGAAGCTGATTTTCGTGCCCCAAGCGGGGCATTCCTCTTCTCTGGCGCCGGCACTGCGGTCCGAGATCTTGAAGGCCATCGACGGGCATCGCTGAGAGATGATGTGCATTGAAAAGGATTTAAAGTGGTGGAACCTGGGGAGAAGGCCTGGCGATGATGGACCCTGAGGACGGTGCAGGCAGATCGTGCCCGATGACGCCGCCACGCATGGCGCGCTCCATCCGGGCACACCGAAACATTTGGAGGGCCTGACATCGGCCAAAAGCGACGCGGTGCTTGGAGGCCAAAAGACGATACGTTCCACTCGCTTTGCGCCACAGCTACCCCAGATCCATGCGAAGACCAGGACCGATTCGGGGTGTTGTTTTTCCTTTATACCTGGCAGATGTGCAACACCTGGCAGATGTATAACTCTCCAGCGACCGCCTTCATAGTCTGTAATGTGCTTGGACTTCATATCGACAATGGTTGAGTTTTGAACATCACCAATAAACGATTAAGAATTAACTAATTAATCCTTGTCCTTGCCGCAGAAGAGCCCACTTGTTTGAGTCCAACAAACGCTGAAAAACATCAGTTCATTTTCAGCAGTTCTTTGCTGCCTGTACCTCCCAAGGTCCTTAAGGTCTCCAGCTCGAAGCTCAGACCTTTCGCAGGGGTCGTCAGGGGGATCCAATCGAGAACCTTCACGACAGGAGGGGGGTAGGCGAAGAGACCATGCAGTAGTGGTGTAGGGGTCTGACAGTCGTTTTTTGTTTGATTTCGATGTTTGCTGTATTGGGTTTCCTCATGTTTCATCGACTCATGGACTCATCGACAGGGTTTGTGTTTGAGGTGAACGAGTCCCGTGTGTTGATGGGGCGAGAAGGAAGTGCCATGCGGTGGTCTCGAGTAAGAAGTGTCGTCCATGGTAGGTAGAAGAACCTGAACAACGATTTCGGGTGTATATAAAGAGTATGCAGCTTTATCGTGTGGTTTTGTTTAGGATGTGATCACCAGTGGAAACTGAGTGGCCACATCAACCTTTAATACCACCAGTTCTTGTTCTGGCCAGGGGGGTGAGGCATATTGCAACACCCTTGAGTCCACCCTACGAAGTTATACATCATGTATATGTTTGCAATTTGTATATATGCTGCCACCCGTACCCGTACCTACCTTTTGTGTGGCTTTATCAGATGTGGGCCACAGATCACTTGTATATCAAAAGTTTTATCTAAAACATGTAATTTCAAAAGCTTGCCTTTGGGTCCTTGGGAATGGTAACTTCTATGCTCAAAAGCTATTAATTCTTTCATTGCAAAAGGCTTGTTCTATATATTATATAGATCTCTGGGAAAAATCACTTTATATGAAGAAGCTTTGTACAAAGCTATACTCCAAAAGTTGTTTTGTCTGATCTCAGGGAATGATCCCTTCTATCTAATATGATTTTTCTTTTATTATAGAAACTTTCATTTCAAAGTTGCCCTATAGGTCTCTAGGCAATAATCAAAAGTCCTTTTTAAAGGCTTTCACTTCAAAAGCATTTCTTTCTGATCTCTGTGAAAGTAGAATTGCACATCAAGAGCCCCTCATCAAGATTGGCTTCCTCTCTAAAACCTTCCATCAAAGATCAATGTGAAATGGCACGTATATTCAAGTAAAATTCAGTGAAACTATACTAAAACTGTCTCAAACAAATTGAACATACGTTTAACAAACACACATTATTTTTAAGTAAACACCCATTTATGAAATTGAATTGAATACAAGCTAAAAGTGAAGAATACAAAGGACAAGTAAACATAGAACACGTATAGACACAGTATAGATACTATTTAATTAAAACAACATTCAAAAAATCTACTAAAATGTCTTGTGAAGATAATAAACATATAGAATAATTGCATTCTATTTTAACGTTTAAAGACCAATTTAACATCAACAAACTATGTGTAAGCTATAAAAGCAAAACATGATGGTAAAAAAGAACAGCACAATAAAGACAATGGTGTCTAAAAGCAAATGCAAATTAATATCAAAAAAGCAGCAACCTCTACTGAATAACACATACATTCCAAAGTAAATGCACATGAATTGAACGAAGTTTAAGTTTCATTGAATCCAACAAATTTGAATCTAGTTGACAGCGATTGCAGCCGTATTTCTGAAAAAAATGTCACCCAAATACAGCAAGTTTAGTTTAATTGACTACTAATTAACATTATATCAAGATTATGTCAAATTTGCTAAAAGCAATTTGAACATAGTTTAAGAGTACATTGACACCATTTGAACCAATACATTAACATAAAATTGCACTGAACGTATATTACACTACAGTAAGTCTATTTGAGAACATATTATTTATTTTTTTCTGTATTAACATACGAAATAACGCGACCATCTGCCGCTTAATGAACAATCAATTAGGGCTAAATTGTTATTTTTTTAAAAGACAAACACCATTCAACACCAACAAAACACAAAAAACAATTCTGAGGAAGTTTTGGGGAAGGAGTGGGGTCCAGGAAACTACCATAATAATAAAGAACTCCTAAGCAATCAAAAAACCTTGGGATCAAAAAAACACAAAAAACAATTCCGGAAGTCTTGGGGAAGGAGGGGGGTCCAGCCAAGAGTCTCTGAGTTATTTTTGGGTTTTATCGAAAAACCTAACATGTCTTTTTGGATACTTCACAGACTGGGATGTGTACAGTACATATTGAAACAAAACACATTAAACGGTCAATTCTGCATACCTTCAAAACAATTTTGGTATCTTGGTATTTTGTAAGAAAGACAAACGTACCAAAACTGAATGGAATGTATGTATACTAGGTATTAAAAACAATCACAAAACACTACAATAGTCAGCCGATAGACAATCAGCACAAAACACTACAATAGTCAGCAGATAGAAAATCAGCACGAAACACTGTAAAACAGAGTGTTTTCATAGAAGAGGTAGGGGGGGTGTATTCCTTTGCACCCTTTTTTGTCTTTCGGACGGACAGCGATGTCTATAGCCTTGGGCTCTTGGGGAAGGGGCTCGCAGCATGAAGGCTTGTGAACGCTCAGAAGTGATGGCAAGAAGACAGACCTACTAGGGCTCGTTTTTGGCAGGGTTGGTTGAAGGGGGGTTTGTCGGGGCAACCACCTCAAGGTCCTTTAGGTCATCCAACTGGCTGGGCATGCCTGCTGGCAGATGTTGCATGTGCAGCTGAAGAGAAGTACCGGCCGGACTGCAGTTTTGGCCCAAAGTTTTGCGCCAGTTCTGAGTGTTTGTGGACATCCGAAGAACTGTTTTGCACACGGCCGGGGCACCTCAGATCAAACTGTTTTTTTGTGAAAGGAGGTGCAACTCTGCTGAAAAACGGCCAGTTGATTTCAGCGGATTTCTCGTCCAACATCAGCATCTCTGGGCCCTCTGGGCTGTTTTTGGGACCTTCCAACCGACCAAGACGAGTCTTGACCACCGACCAAGACCACCTTCCCAACTCTCCCGACGTTGTTTGAGGTCCAGAGTGCGCAGTCATGGGGAAGAAGCCAGCGACGCAAAAGATGAGCTTGGCCGAAGCTTGGCGGCACCATCAGCCGGAACTCGCGCTGCCAGCTGTGCGTTTTGCTACTAGTAGCTAGGGCATTACTAGTAGGAACAAGAAGCTACTAGGGGCTGCTGGCACCGCTACTAGGAGCAAAGAAGCTACTAGGGGCCTAGGGGCTCCTGGCCGTACTACTAGGAGCAAGTAGCTACTAGTAGTGGTTTTGGGCCGGGAGAAGTGAGATTCCTTCGATCAACTTCGACTCCCTGTAGACACCTGAACTGGTCTGATTTTGGATGATCTTGGATGACAAGAGAAGGCTTTATGGGATTTGTCGGAGTAAGACGACGTCGACTATGAATATTTCATAGCGTTTTTGTAGAGAGTACATGCACGATTAGGAAACCTTTTTGTCCAGTGTTTTATGCCTTTTTTTGAATCAGTTTCGAGATCACCATACCTCCAAGGATAAAAGTCATGACCTTGTTGTTTCTGGCAAGCAGATTCGACCGTAGTCAGATCTCCTCGCAGCCGGTTTGCACTTGGAAAACGGTTTGTTGTTGGTTGCTTTGCACAGATCTTCGGTCAATCTGATCTGAAGGGGCCTGACTGCACTAGCGAGGACCTGAACGCCAAGTTCGGCGGCAACATGGCCTGCGCCCCAGAATGATGCGGGCCTTCGCTGACCCGGTGGACATTCACGTGCAGCTCGTTTTGGGCCAAACACGAGCTGTTTGTTCGCCTGAAAGAAAGGGTGCCATCACGCATCTTCGTGCAGAATTTCTTAAGCTTTTGCGAGTGGTCATCTAGAGAGAGAAACCCTCAGTGGGGAATCAGGAGCAAGTTGGGGTCAACACAGCACCCTATCATATCCATGGTCGACCCCTTTTTGGGGCTTGGACAGTTGGACGAACTTGGCTCTGCGACCAGAACCGCTGTGGGTGTTCAGGCGGAACAGCAGCTGCCTTCCCAAAGTGTCGGAAAGGACTTTGGCAAGGCGAAAGGCTACTTGGCAGAACCACTGGGGAAGTTCTTTCATGCAAATGTATGCAAATGTATAGTTCTTGTGTGCAAGAAAGGTGAAGGTGATTGTCGCAGTTCTTGAGTCCAGCCTGAGCTATATGATAGCCATCTCGCACATAACCAAAGTTGAGAATACCCTCAACTATGGAGCTAGCAACTCCCTTCTTCCTGTTGTAGTGGACGGACTTTTTTTGGCACAGCCATTTGGGGCTGTAGACGGTCCACCTGTGACGGTCCACAGCATACCGCATACCTAACTAGGTGACGACGCCTTCTGGCGCCTGTGGGTGGCGTGTTACATCTCTCCTGAAACCCCCTGAGGAGGACCATTTCAAGAAAATTGAGTAAAAATGGGGTCGTCAATTTGGACATTAGTTTTTGTTATTTCAAGTACCTGAGTAATAAGAGTTTGTTTCCATCAGCAATCAGGATAAATTGGGATCAATCATCTTAAGCATGAGACACAATGCTCAGAGAGAAGGATTCCCTTCCACGAAATGATTGGACTCAGTCTTGGTGTAAATTCTCTTTGTAGCAACATGGCATGAAAGCTGTGACATTC